ACCAGCCTGGATACTAAATCCAGTCTAAGCGAAATTACATCCGGTGTATGGGCATTGATAGAGGGTGCAGCAGGATATGAAACATGTTCATGTTGGTGAGGATTTAATTGATGTTATAGTTAATTGAACATTGCCCAAAGCAAAAGTAAAAAAAGAAACTCCAGTGAAGATCGTTAAGATCTTTCTTCCTCCACGCTAGTCCTATTCGGGCCACGTTAGTCCCATTTAGGCCCCGCTCATAACTTCCCATACTTCACCACGCTGGCTTTCGACGCTGGCTCTTAATCGCTGCGTTGCATTACTCTGTTAAAGAAACTCTCATTATTATATAGTTAGAGAATATAATTAACTCGCTCTTACACACTCACAAGAAGGCTTCGATCAATCGATTTGAACAAGCCTCACTCTGTTCATCATCTTCGTCTTCAACACCCACCAACCACCGTCACGTACTTACCAATAAAGATACATTTGCATCTCTCCGGCTGTGGAATATAGAGCCTGGATGCCTGACCCTCAAATGCTGGGTCCACGCGACTTACATGCCCTGAACTTTTGAGGAAAAATCCTGTTATAGTTTGTGCTAGTCGCCTGTTTGCTGCCAAGCCGAGTTTGACGTTAATTAAATCAGGCTATCGATACTGATATTTAGTTAAGCTTAGCGGACTCCGTCACAAGCATCATCAAACCAGTCCTACTTCCCCTTTTCTATTTCATATCCACCGGGCCACGGTTGAAGAGGTTCCTCCTCGGGGGTATTACTCACCAGCTCACCTCAATCCATGAATGTTGGGTCAACGGCAAACCTTTCCTGAGCCATTCTGCCATAATATCATAGCATGAACGAGAGATCTAGCGACTCCATATCCCTCCGCAGAACCTCCCTCACAGCTGTCCAGAGCGGCTCAGCCCTTTCACCCCTTGTCCCTCACGATCCCAGTGCTCCTGGTACCTGCAGTGACGATCACCTGACCACTGCAAACAACAACCAGAAGCACAAGGGTAAAGCCAGAGACGAGGATAACGATCGGTGCAGTGAGGAAGCGGGGGAACAGCTGTGGCGGCAGCAACAACAACAACAACAACAACAACAACAACAACAACAACAACAACAACAACAACAACAACAACAACAACAACAACAACAACAACAACAACAACAACAACAACAACAACGACGACAACAAGAAGAAGAACTAGAACAAGAGGAGGATCAAGAGGAGGAACAAGAGGAGGATCAGGAGCCGGGAACCGACGGTCTCTCCGACTCCTCCCGCCGCTCGTCCTTTGCTGAGAGCCAGGTGCTGAAAATGAACTTTCTTGCATCGGATGACGACCTAAATGACGATGAAGAGACCGGATTGACAGCCAAGGAGCGCAGACGGAGATGGAAGCTGCGAAAGCGACATCGTCGGGAGCTAGACGCTAGGATCGTTAATGTTAAGATCTCCAAGGATGACCGCCGGATGGCGGATATAGCCGTCTTGAAAAGGCTGGGCATGAATGCTATCCTGATTGGATTGTGGTATATCTTCTCGTTGTCAATATCTATTGTATGGATTCCCCAGGGCTTGCTTAACAGTTTTTTTTCCCCTTCTCTCAGCTGACTTGTATTGATTGTTACAGTATAATAAATGGATGTTTTCACCCGATCATCTCGATTTCAAATTTCCCCTTTTCACCACTAGTCTACATATGGTGGTGCAGTTTACCCTCTCCTCAGTTGTCCTCTACTTTTTCCCTTCCCTGCGACCACATGACCCTACTGCAGCCTCCTACTCCGTGATAACCGGAGAGCCGCCACAGCCAGTCGTATCAAAACATTTCTATCTTTCCAAACTAATACCGTGCGGCGTTGCAACCTCTCTTGACGTGGGATTGGGGAATATGTCTCTCAAATTCATTACCCTCACATTCCTAACCATGTGCAAATCTTCCTCCCTCATTTTCGTCCTCCTCTTTGCATTCCTCTTCCGCCTAGAGACCATGTCCCTCAAACTCATCCTCATCATATTTACAATGACCATCGGTGTAATTATGATGGTAGCAGGAGAAACAGCATTCAACGCTCTCGGCTTTAGCCTCGTCATTGCCTCTGCTTTCTTCTCCGGTTTTAGATGGGGACTCACCCAGATTCTCCTCCTCCTCCATCCCGCCACCTCAAACCCCTTCTCCACCCTCTTCCTTCTGACCCCGATAATGTTCATCAGCCTAATAATACTTTCTGTTTCCGTGGAAGGGCCCCTCAATATCTTTCACGGCATCCGCTTGCTAACCTCAAACGGTGTCCTACGTGGCATTGGCATCCTCATCTTCCCGGGATGTCTAGCATTTTGCATGATCGCCTCGGAATTCGCGCTCCTCAAGCGCTCCTCTGTCGTCACCCTAAGTATCTGCGGCATCTTCAAAGAAGTCGTCACCATCAGTGCTGCAGGTATCGTTTTCCACGATCCGTTGACTCCAATCAACGTCTCAGGCCTCATCATCACCATTGGGACCATCGCGTCCTACAACTACATGAAAGTCACAAGGATGCGACAAGAGGCCTGTCTCGACGTTGCAGAGAACGCCAATAAGATCTCCAGGGACCCCGACGACGAGGAAGCAATAATGCCCTCCGCCACAAGGAGTAACCTGCCCCAAAATGGTAGCGATAATGCCAATAATAATAGTAATAGTAATTCTAAACTACCTAGCCTGGCCACCCGCTTCGGTCCTTCCCTCAACACCTCCACAACGATTAGAGATGGTACATACAGCCCCATAGAAACACCAGTTTCCACCACTAACGACAGTGATGAAAACACAGTGATAACTCCAAGCGGTAGCGGTGAAGATCGTGGCTACATATCCGTCCGCGCCAGGGTACCTGGTCCTGGCACCTCTTCTTCCCCAGGAGGAAGAGCCGACCCGTCCCCCCACTCTCAGCTCCGAAACACTCCCACTGGCGGCTCCAGTGCTACGGATGTAAAACCCGGTGACGAGGCACCATCTGTTCGTGTGATAGGGCCTCCAGCGATTGGATTGGGGCTTGTTGCTCCGCATAGAAGTGCGAGTGGGAAAGGGATATCTGCTTCACCGATAGTGCCGCTGTTAAAGACAGCGATCCCGGATAAGATTAGTCAGGATTGATTTCGCGACTGGGTTTACATTCCTTCCCCCATTCTTTCCCCTTTTCCTTCTCTTCGTATATTGGGCCTGGTTTAGTTTTATTTGAAATTCCCTTTTTCTTTCTTTCTTTTTTCTTCTGGTTTTTGACCTGTTGATTGTGTTGGGAGGGTTGATGGATGTGTGCCCCTTTAGTTCTCTTGTTTCCTATCCATTGTCCAGGGCATGGAGTGTTGGAGTATAGGGATGTTCAAAGGTGATGCCCTTGTTTCCTTATGATTTACTTTCAAAAATGTTCTGCATATCCACCTCTACTCACTCACTCTAGAGTCAACGCGGTAATAGATGGTGTGTTAGTACTGTTGTCGCTGTTGATTTCTTGTCCATACGCGTATCAAGTCTATCTTAGCTTTTGTCCTTCGCGAATCTTCCATCCCAATTCCCTTTTACGTTCAACGTTGCCTTTAACCCTAGGCTGTTTGACTCGGTTTTTGCCTTCCTCTTGATTGCCCATGCCACCCCGCCTATAGATTGTATATTGTCCATATCTACCACCTGCGTCCATTATTCGATTTGCATAGCTCATTGTTCATTTACTTATGTTTCTTTTGTATCCTCCTAGGACGTTTTCGGGTGGGTCTCCTTTCATTTTAACTTTGGCTTTGCTTTCTAGTTTACCAACCCTTACCAAGCGTACAACCTGCCGCCTGAAAAACTGGAATTGATAACCTTGGCATATATAGATATCTAGACCATTCGACCGTTCATCCCTTGAGGATGTGAAAATCCATCTAGACGTTCGATTCATCCAAGAGGCCCTGGAGTGCACTTCACTCACTTGCTCTCTCGATTTTCCACGTCATGTCAAGCAGTGCCCCAAGATATAGTCGGCGGTTTCACGTTTGATTTTTCTTTTCTTTTCTTTTCTTTTCTTTCTATCTAAAGAATAACTGTTATCAAGAAGCAGTATCGATTTTAAGGTTAACCGTTAGAAATAGACGTCATCCTGAAATCTTAAATTTTCCGTTTGAGATCCTAAAACACTTCACGTCACAGATCACAATTGCCGTTGATACAGTGCAAATACTATCTATAGAAATCGACGCTAAGCAAACGCTCCATCAATCAAGCAATAAGGAAAGAGAAGAAGAGTACGTTGATACGTAAAACCTACTCAATCTTACAGGCTCTCCTTTTACGCCCCTTTTCAATCCATTCACAGAGTGGGTCGTTCCTTAACTACCGCTTCTCCGTTCCATGCTTCTTGCTTTCACCCATTCTCAACTCCGTCACCTGCTCTTCGACACCTACCAAGAGCCAAACACAGCCATAGCCTTCCGGTTGGCGGAAATGGATGTTCTCGAATCCCCCCTACCACTGTAAACCCCGTCCTCGTCTCCTTTCCCCCCAACAACCTCCAAGCCCCCAAGTCCCCAACCCCCCAACCCCTCTCGGCCCCTCCTTCCCCCTTTGCAACTTTAACTCTTACCCCTCAGAGCACATACAAATTCCCTTTCCCCCCTTAATATATATACATACATATATACATACATACATACATACATACATACATACATACATACATACATACATATATATAAATCCACACCGCTCGCACGTAAACTGTGAACCCAAAACATCTACGCCATGCCATGTATATTAAAAGCTAGATAAAGGGAAAAAAAGAAAAGCAAATACTAATACCAATGCTTCCCTACCCCACCAACAACGCCATCATGCTCAAGAAATCTGACTTGGGTGCTGATGCTCAAATCGCGTATCCTCATGAAGCAACAATGCAAACAAAAGTATGGTAGTAATGAACAACTTAAAATTCCCTGCTTGTTGCTCCCTGTGTGTTAATTGATATAGGTGGATATATATTATCAAAACTAACCACCTTTCCTCTGGTTGGCGACAGAAGCAGCAGGAGGAGGAGCAGCAGCAGCTCCAGGTGGTGAAGAGCGGGTTACGGTATTGGCAATGGGGACGGCGACGGCAGAGGCTTTTGCATCTCGATCACGATCCTTTGGGGTTGAAACGGAGCCGTTATTCGCATTCGAGTTGGCATTATTAATGACACTATTGGCATTATTGCTATTGCGAGAGTGATGGGAAAAATGGGTCGAGTTGGCGATTGCGGCACTAGCGCTGCGGAGCTCAATCTTCTTGCGTTCCATTTCAAGCTAAAGAGTGTTCAAGGCGGAATACATTAGTTAAGGTTGTGTCATCGCAAGCACGTGCATTTAATTTTTCGTACCACAAGAAGAGAAGGGCCAAGGATTTTGGATCAGAGAGAAATATCTGACACTTACAACTTTCCTAACTCTTGTCAAAGCTGCGCTCACCCCACCATCATCACGGGTTAGGGAACGACAATTGTCTATCTGATACGGCTTGGAAATTATGACGGTATCCGCCACGACAATGCTCGTGCCTTCCCAGCGGGCAGGCATGGTCCTGCTAAACGCATCGAACAGGTCTTGAGCTTCCTTGCTAACACCCTTCCCGCGTCGCTGTTCGCGCTCATGTAGCTTCGCAACAGCGGTGGCCTCGCGATGCTTCAGTGCGCGGATGTCGAGCGGGTAGATGGATGGGTACGCGTTGGTGAACGATGGGCCCTGTAGCTGTTCGACGGGACTTGAGGAGGAGGAGGAGGAGGAGGAGGAATGTGGGGCTACGGAAAGGAGTTGAAAGTTCTGGATACGGGAGATAGGGATTATGTGGTAGTCACCGGGATGGGAGAGGGCGGGGGTGCCTGAGGTCATTGGGGTTGGCGGTGGAGGTGAGGTGTTGATTGCGATAAGATTGGTGATGGGACATGCTGTGAAGAGGGTTCCTTCATGCGTAACGGATGCTGGGGAAGCAGTAGTGACACGTATACTATTGATGAAATAGCTTCATGTCAGTATAATGGAATTGGATTGGAAAATGTTCCTATTGCGTAAGTTTGGGTTTGCTTTTGTACGGAAGGAAAACGTTGCTTGGTGCCCTTCGATTCAAGCTTGATTGCATCTCATCGCGAAACAGAACGACAGTTGGCAAACTGCTAAAACCACGACACACCCGAGCTAGAGCTGGGAAGCTAGGAGAAAGATCTATGTAAAACCCACCGGGCACCAATTGCTCCACACAAAGCCATCTCCATCGCGACAGTGCCTGACGGTCCGAGATTGGACGCAACCAAACCGGCGGGGCCTTTGCCACCAATGCTCTGTCGCTTGTTCTCCGTAGCCATGTTCGACCTGAGACAACTGCAACTGTGTAACTGCAACAACCCTCGAAGCTCAAACAACGGATGCGTTTGTATGTGCAACAGGTGCAACGCGAACGAGGTGTCAGCGTGAGAGAATCTGGGTCCGTATATTACTGCTTTCTGATGCTGGTCATGGAGAGCCAACTTAGGGTAGACGTCTTCCTGATGTGGAATTAATGTGCACGCTTCCTCGAGAAGATGACCGTAGCGTGTTTATTGGACGGATATATTATGCCGTGGTTTGTTTGATATTTGGCGGTTTATGTGTTCGTTGGGCAGAATAAATAAGCAGCACGGCGGCGAAAAGGGAAACAGCAACCCGAACCAGCCCAAACGACGAAGATTAAAACGGGATGAAGAAAGGAGTGACAGGAAAAGGAGAGGGAAGGGAAAAAAGGGTGGGGAGACGGGATGTTAAAGTAAAAGAAGACAGGAGAATGGAAAGAGAGAAGAGAAGGAAAGGGGCGAAAAGGAAGAGATAGATATAAAGAGACAGCAAGATGCGAACTTCAATAATGAATCAAGAGGACAAGCAAGCAGTGAGGCTAGTCAGTCACGGCAACAAGGCACAGCGGCTCTTCCGCCACCGGGCAAGGTACGCTAGAGCAGAATAGGGTGAGACAGCTTCCTGAGCTGGGGACGCAGAGACCAAGAACAGATGTGGCCCAGAGCAGGAAGCAATTGAATGCTTTGAATGGGTGTCAATGTTGGTCACTGCTGTTGAATGCAGCAGAAGTTGAAGTCTAGGAGATTGTTTTTGGAATGAAACTTCATCTGAACTTTTGAAATTAAGGGTTTGAAATTCGAAGGGAAAAGGATGGGCTCGGCAGATTAGTCAGCGGCGGTCAGTGAGCAGCATCCCAATGGATATTGAAGACCGGGGTAATACAGAGTGTAAGTTTTCGGTACATCTGAAGCGGTCTCTATTGGGTTGTTTTTTTGTTTGAATAGATGAATGTGGAATGCGTTATGTAAATTGGCTAATTTCTTAATTGATAATGGCTGTTTTTTTTTTTGGTTCATTGGGCTGATGAACAGCTTCCGCAGATCTACGAGGTATCTACAGCACTGCGTATGGCTCTCTAACATGAAACTTCATTTTCGATTTATTTTTAGTCAAGCAATTAAAAACCATTCCAAATTCGCTTTTCCTAATGGTGCTTCCCACGACTCCTACCCCGCTTCACTCTGCCATGTTTCTTGTACCTTCCCGTTCCTTTTTGCCATATCCCTTAGTTGCCTCTTTACACCTTTTGTCCACAATCTGGGTCAGGTGGAATCTTTTCTTTTCTTGCCCCTCTAAATCCGGATGGATGATAATAATGACGATGGTGACGGCAGATAAATCCTATGTATGACTTCCCGTCTGTCCCTGCTGTTTTGCTTGATAGGACCCCTTCCCTCTCTTCCTCCAGATTTCTCCTCCTTCAACACACAACATCCTATGCTTGATACGTAGATGCAGAAACATTCCCTCCACGCCCCGTCCAATTGACATGGATATATTGACCTTCGGGATGCTTCTCATTCGCCCACTCAGGCTTGATAAGGAACGTGTGCGCACCAAAATAATCCCGCTGAGCCTGGAGGAGGTTGGCCGGAAGATCGCGTGTACGATATCCATCGTAGAAGCTTAGAGCCGTACTGAAGGCTGGAGTAGGGATGCCCCACAGTGCGGCTTTGCTGACAACGTCTCTCCAGGCTGCCTGGGCGTTGTGGATCGCCTTGTTGAAGAATTTGTCGAAGAGCAGGTTTTCGAGATCAGGATTGTTGCGGTAGGCGTTTGTGATGTCTTTGAGGAAGACGGAGCGGATGATGCAGCCGCCTCGCCACATTAGGGCGATGGACGGCTTGTTGAGTTTCCAGCTGTATTCTTTGGCGGCCTGTTTTGGTCGTTGGTGTGTCAGTGTGGGAGATATATATATATATATATATATATATATATATATATATATAAAACATTACACTTTTGAGAAGCCGTTTTATTTTATTTCTATTTTTATTTTTATTTTTATTTTTATTTTTCCCTTGGTGGGTGGGTGGGTGGGTGGGGGGAAGGGAGGAGTTAGTGGTAGGGGAAATGCCTTTTTAACACTTACATTCTGGATCAGCATGAATCCCTGCGCGTATGAAATGATCTTAGACGCATAAAGAGCCTGCTCCAAATTATCAATGAACTCCTGCCTATTTCCTGTGAAGTTGGGCGTGGGGCCCTGAAGAACTTCGCTAGCCCGGGTACGCTCCGCTTTCAAAGAGCTGAGGCAGCGAGCGAAGACAGCCTCCCCGATTAAAGTGACGGGCATACCCAGATCGAGGGCGTTGATCGCAGTCCACTTGCCTGTTCCCTTCTGGCCGGCGGCATCGAGGATTTTCTCGACCATGGGCACGTCGTCGTCGTCGTTGTAGCGCAGGATGTCGCGGGTGATTTCGATTAGGAAGGAATCTAGGACGCCGTTGTTCCATTTATCGAAGACGTCACCCATTTCTGCGCCGGTCATGCCTAGACCTCGTTTCATGATGTCGTAGGCCTAAAGCATTTCATTATTGTTTTAGTCACAGAGTATCCGGAATAGAAGTTGAACAATAGTTTGGTTTTTCATATGCGTACTTCTGTAATAAGCTGCATATCGCCGTACTCAATACCATTGTGAACCATCTTCACATAATGGCCCGCACCCTCATCTCCGACCCAGTCACAGCACGGCTCACCATCGCTCTTAGCCGCAATGCTCTGGAAAATGTCCTTGATATACGGCCATGCCTCCTCGTTTCCACCAGGCATCAAACTGGGTCCATATCGAGCGCCTTCCTCGCCGCCAGAGACGCCAGATCCCACAAAGCGTATCTTCTTGGTGGCCAGGTACTTAGTGCGGCGGTTGGAATCCGGGAAGTGGGAGTTTCCGCCATCGATGATGATGTCGCCGTCTTCGAGGTGGGGGAGGAGTGCTTCGATGAAATCGTCAACTGGTTTGCCAGCCATAACTAGAAGCATTATTCTACGCGGTCTCTTGAGTTTGGCGCAAAATTCCTCGATGGAGTGGGCGCCGACGATTGATTTGCCTAGTGGAAATGGGGGTTAGAATGATAACTTTTGGGTTTGGGTTGGTAAATTTGTAAATGAGAGATCTCATTCTTGTTCTTTTGCGCACCTTTAGCTTCATTTGCTAGGAAACGGTCGACTTTAGACACAGTACGGTTGAATGCTACCACAGTGAAACCATGATCTGCAGCGTTGAGGATGAGGTTCTGGCCCATAACGGCCAAACCAATGAGGCCGAAATCACCACTGGGAGCAGGATGCATGGGCGGGCCGACATTGATGCCAGCCAGGCGAGCACTGAAGTCAGCAATCAATGTTTCAGTTCAATGCGGGAGTCCATTTAGGGGTAAGGATATATAGTATGTGTTTGTCTATCTTCCTGGATGTCGAGCACTATCTAGGGAGAGCAATGAAGCGCGGAAATTTGAAGTAGACCACTAGGAATGAAGTTGATGCTGATAGGGGCACTCACACTGCCTGATCTGTCATTGTAAAGGGAGAATTTCAGAGAACTGATCTGTTATGGAGATTGAAAGGAGGTTTGGTGATTTTGGAGAGGTGGATGGCTCTGGTTAGCTGTGTGGTATGTCCTCAGATTTCAAGCTGTATTGGACGCAGGAAACACTGACGGCAGAGAAGTCAAATTGACGAAGATGGTTGGTAGAAACGACGGATATGGGAATAGTAGATATATACGGGAGTGGAGAGGAGAGGAATTGGGGAATGGGGAAGAAAAAAGAATGGGAGAGTGGGAGTGGGAGTGGGATGGTTGTTTGGGATGGTGTGGGATTGGAGTGTGCTGAACTAAATATGATGCTGCTTAAATCACAGCACAATAATGCAACGCGATCTACTCGATGTCGACTACTACAGCCACGATTATCTAGCTACTGCTGTTGCAATTAATAGATTATTTAGAACCGTATCAGTATCAAACATGCATGTACAATTGTTTATAATTGATCCCTTGGTGATCTCCAGGGGCAGGTCTGACGTCGGTCTCCAGTTCATCCTCTTAACGCAGAAGTTGCAGTGAGAGGCGGGGTAACTACCACCAGCCGAAAAGAGATCGCGGTTGGCGCAAGATGAGGGGCATGAACCTCAGAGAATTAACCGGGACAAAAACACCTTCCCCCCTCCACGTACAGAGCAGAGCAGAAATATAGGTTCTATTCTCGGTGGGGAACCCCCAATACGGAACAGGGAAGGCTGTCTGAACTCCCACCGTAATCGTGACCAAGCACGCACCCTAGGCGTAACTGACTAGTTAGTTATATGATATCGGAAATGGCCTTGAATGTGTGAATCCTGCCATACGCCACCACAAACGAATTCCATCCAAATTTCTAATAGTTGGACCCATCAATTGGTAGGTTGGCACACTCTGGAGATCATGCATGACCCGGAGCAAGGGCAACCTCCACGGCCGCAAAGGATTGCAACAATGTTGCCTCCACACAGCTCCTGTGTGACCCTTCCAAGGCTACGCGGCATGCTGCAGACATGTTGTTCACTTTTTGTGGCTGGGCGTGGATGATCGTTGTAGATTTTGCTGCCAAACTACTCGTAAAATAGCCAGGTATGGGCTAGTTCAAGGGACCGCGTTGGGAGTGTGCTGCTTAGTCATTTCCGACAACTCCGCGCCAAGAACTGAGAGGATGCTCTGAGCGCTGATTGGTGGAGTGCGGTACCATAGTCTCTCAGTACAAGGCAAATACGCCAGCGGGACGTCCGTAATTAGATTTCGTAGCTGCTCACTATGGACCAACTAGTAATTTTGGTATTTTAACTAACTAGTTAGTTAACTACTTCCAAGAATCTGACTAACCTCAAACCACGTGATAACTATTAGTTATCAACTCCATCGAAATTTGAGTCCGTCACATCATTAGAGATTCATCATCATCAACAACATCTCGATAAGCCTCTGAACAAGCAGCCTCTGTCACAAATACGGCTTCGTCTCCAACTCGAAGTGGGAGGCACGGTATACATCGAACAATATACTGTCATGTACTTGTGGCAAACGAAGTCTCGCATGTAATTGCTTGCTCCAAGTCTACCCGCCACGTTCAACTCTCAGATCCTTCTCACACTACAGTTGACAACACACGGTCCACTGACACATTTTCTGCATTGGTATCCAGAGCATCACTCGGACTGTTTCGGCACTAGTTTATACCTGGAGCTCCACGATTTCCCTGGACGTGCGCAAGGTACGTGTGTCCATTGTTACTGCACACCTCCAGCCAAATAGCTCTCCTGTACTGCACAAACGAAATAAAATATAAAAATAAAATAAAAAAAAATACCACTTTCGACGAGCCTCCGTTCATCATGTCCTTTCCGCCACCTCCAGGTCTCCAACAGCAGCCGTCGCGTCCTCAGTCCTCGCAATCACAGCCGTACACATCTCTTCCCCCCCGACCACCCCCTGCGACACCATTCTCATCGACATCGACGGGCGCTCCCGTTGTATCAAATCCTACTTTTACTACCAGCCACGCTAGACCCGGCACGGCCTACAATTCCTTCACAGGTTTTCAACCCCGCGCCGTAGCTGCGAGTCAGTCTTTCCGCCCTCACAGCCCTGCTGTGCCAGCGCCTGCAGCTGGCTACCAACACCATGCGCAAAATCATATCCCCAACTACTCCCAGCCGGCCTACAAACAACCCCACATAGCATATTACGGACAACAGCAGCAGGCTTCAGCAGCAGCAACGTCAGCTTATGGCCAAACCGCCGCTTCCAAAGTCCAAAACCCATTCCAATATTCAAACCAAGCGCAAAACAATGCATACGCCGGTGCCGGAAGGGGGTATCCCCGCCAGCAAGACTCCGGACTAGATCCCGACACCGAAGCGCAAATCGCACAATGGCAGAGCGCATACATGGGAAAGGAGAGCGGCATAGACCCCTCCCAATCCGCAACAAATACCATAACCGGTCAAGGTCAAAGCAGCGGCCCGGGCCGTCGCGACGGAGCCTTCTCCGCGACGGGCGCCAACACAGGTCCCCTGGGTACCTTCCAACGGATCCATGACTCGACCACATCAACACCTCCGAGCGGTCCGCACACAGCAACATCCACCCCCGTCCCGGCGGGACCAAACACTCCAATTGAACCAGCAAAGACAGTCATCCGCTCCGGCGGCGGGCAAAGCTGGACAGACTCCACACTCTTGGAATGGGATCCTGCACACTTTCGGTTGTTCGTGGGCAATTTGGCTGGAGAAGTAACGGACGATTCACTCCTGAAGGCCTTCTCCAAGTACCCATCCGTGCAGAAGGCGCGGGTTATCCGCGATAAGCGCACGGAGAAGAGTAAGGGCTATGGATTTGTGAGCTTTAGTGATGGGGAGGATTATTTTAGGGCTGCGAGGGAGATGCAGGGGAAGTATATTGGGAGTCATCCGGTTTTGTTGAGGAGGGCGATGACAGAGATTAGACCAGTGGTTGCGTCGAAGGTTGGTGCGGGAGCTGGTGGGAGGAAAGGAGGAAAGAGGAGTGGGTCGGGTATTGGAGGCGGTGGGAGGGGTGGTGGAGTTGGTGCTGGGAAGGGGGGGGGTGGTGGTGGCAGTGGCGGTTCGAAGGTTGTTGATGGTGGTATACAGAAGAAGCAGGGCAAAACGAAAGGGGGATTGAGGGTTATTGGGTGATGGGTCTCCTTTTAGTTTTTTAGAGAGTCTGGCTTGCAGGTGTTGGGGGTATGTAATTTCTTTATTTCGCCTTGTTTGTTCGCCTTTTTTCTTCTAAAGTTTGCAGCAACTCTTTTTTCCCCCCCCCCCTTGATGGTTGGAGCACATGGTGTTCTGGTCATGAAATATTCGTACGACATTTTATAATTACTCTTCTCCCTAGCCCACCCATTCCAGTTGATTTGTTTGCTTGCCATTTACGGTATCCACCTCCATATATCACATCCAGGTGACAACCATCTTTCAACATCATGCCCCCCTTCTTGTCTTTGTGGGTCTTAGAATATCTAAGGGATCATTTAATATTTAGCATTTCCCATTTTTCTCGGATCTTGTTGATCCTCAACTGAAGACATTAGATACAAAATCTCGCTAGATAATACGATTAAATTTATTTCTTTTGAACTAAAACTCTCCCGGTGGACATATCACACCTCTCCTATTAAAAACAAATATGTGAATACAGCATGTGGACAGACAAGAATGAACAGTAAAAGAACCAAAGTAGAGATCTGGCGATGTATCCTGCACTTATGAGAAGGATGATAATGATATGAGCCGCAGAAATAGGCTCATTGCCAAAAACAGAAGCACTGTATGTGGCGAACGCATCGGAGTGAGATGGCTAGACATCTGTAAATGCATCATTAAAATTCTCAATGGGCTTCAGTGGTCAATGTAAATAGCACGGTGTGAAATCAGTCCGCGTAGATGTTGGTTAGTTGGAGGTGTCATATCCTGTTCGTAATCGAATGCAGCGGTGGCAGCTGTGTTGAAGAAACGGAAGTATTTAGACAATATATTATCGCCTCGGGGTATGGTGTGTTCCCATGTACTATACCTCTGTTGCTGAGTCAGTATAGGGACTTGTGCCATAGTCGAGGTTGCAACTATCTAGTTGTTTATTTTGTTGTTGGAGGGCTGCTGTTCGTCTTTGGTGAGTTTTCGACGTTGTCGAGATGGAACATCTGAAGGGGAATCATCTGCCTCTGGCATTGGTCTTTTCGCTCTTGTTCTATCTTTATTCTCTGCCTCACTTCCCGAAGGGAAAGATGATGTAGGGGCAGTACCGCTCTAAAAAAGAAAAAGTCTGTTCATATATTTGACACCTTGACGGAGCCAGGCAGATAGATAAATAAAAGAGGATATAGAGCATACCTGCATACGCGAAGTTGCTTCATCGCTACAACCATTATGATTCTTTTCGACTACCCGCGGACATCTTAACTTCAAGAATCGCAGGATATGTCGACACGAAGTTGGGAATGCACAGTCTGCCCAACATCCGTGTTCCCGAAGTCCCTCATTATCAGACGCACGCCTTACCTGTTTCTGCCAAACGACCATCGATTTCCAGCCGAGATAATCAAAATCAGATGTACATGATATGTGCCCTTGCTGTTTATTCCTGTCTGTGGGACGTCCGGAGCAATAGTAGTGCCCATCGGTGAGACAGCGACTAGTCACCCCAAGAGGGTATTTGGAACAACACAAGTGACATTTCCACATCCAGGCCACCGGTATCCGTGGAGGTGGGGGGAGCTGATCTGTATCACTTCCAGGAAGTCGTGGACTTGGTGAATGAGAACCTGTGGACGACGAAGTCAGGCTAATAAGCGGTGATATTATAGGACTCGGGTTTGATGACAGGTTGCGGGATGATGCATCCTGTGTATTTGTGTCTTTAGGCGCGGAACCTTGAGATCTTGGATTCATTTTTATCACGACTCTACAGTGACCCACTGCTTTAAAGAGAATTTTGAAGGAGTGCTTCGACCGAATCGCCTCGTTTCTTTTGGGGAATATCGTTTGTAAAAAAAAAAAAAAAAAGGCTTCAAAGAAAAGCGAATTCGATGAAGAGCGTAACTGACAAGTGGAAATGGGGGGGGGGGGGGTTCAACCACGAGGATTCTGTCAAACGGTATACCAAAACATAGATTCATAACAGGTTGGATTCAGAGATGGGAATCTTATGAACTGCTTTCACAGGATGGAAGGAAACCAATATTCTGCTTGAAAAAGTGAATGTGCTCAGTATGTTGATGAATATATATACACATCAACCTTTGTGCCAGTGAATAACAATCCAGAACTTGAAGAGTTCATGTCTTGTGTTAGCTCCTTCTGGAATACCTGATGAGCTTTCCATTTGCAGGATTGTGCGATATGAAAGAGAAAAGAGAATGAGAGAATGAGAGGACTCACTGGCGAAAATCCCATAATTACCAAAAAAACCGTAAGACACAAAGGCTGAAGTCTTTTTCAGTAGTCGTTGCAGCAGAAATTGAACAATGTCGTAGACAAGAGATAAGAATTAAAAAGTTAAGTAGTTCAAAGAAGATCTATCTGAAAAGCTCCAGCAGATATATATATAGAATCTTCCTGGCAAAGACATCTGTTCCAAGTGAGTCTGAAGAGCATGGCAAACATAAATCTGTCACGGTCCCAAAGAGGAGCAAGCAACAATCATAATAAAAAGCATCGTGCATTGAGATGTTGAATCAAAAGTCCCAGCCACCTCCTTTCGCACTAGAAGCTTGGCTGTATTAGTCTGTATCTTACAATCGTAGTGATCTGAGATCTTGATACCTGAGATACTCTCTCTTTTACTGCCTGCTTGATAATTTTTCTCATTCTTTATATGCATCTTTATTCATCATGGACTTTTATTCTATTGAGCCTCATGTCCAAGCTCTTACTCTTATCGCTGAGGAGTATATATATAAAAAAGTTAAAAAAATCACAGATATTTTGACACATCTACAAAGAATGTAATAAAAATAAATAAAAAATTTAAAATTACAACTTTGATATTAACGATTATATTTTTAAAAAAATATAGAGAGAGAATGCTTTACAAAGCAGTTACTTGAAAAATATATTCTCAGAGAGAGATTAATTTATCATATAATCTGTTATTAACAATTGACATAAATATTACAACTTCATTTAAAGTTTTAAGAAAATAGAAGTGTATTTATAAAATCTTTGAAAATTAGAACTAACTACTCTTTTAAAAAAATATTAATTTAAATTTACTATTGAATATAAAATATTGAAGTTTAGATAACTGAATAAAAGTGATTGAAAGTTATAAAATATTTATTATTTTTGATTAAAAATATAATGCTGTTTGAATTTAATATCAAATTTTAAAATTAATAATTCAAAATATATATAAATATAATAAAAAATAAGTTTTATATAAAATTATAAAATTGAATAACTTGATAGATTTTAATTAAATTGTATTTATTTAACTTTAAATAAAGCATTAAATTATAATTTAAGAAATTTTATAAAATAAAAAACTACTTCAAATTTATAAATTTAAATATGAAATAATTTATTTATTAAAAAAAATTCAAACATAAATAGAGCAAGATTTTTTATTATATTAAAATAATAGTAATAAGTATAAAAATATATATAAAGAAAGCAACTGTAAATAAAGTTAAAAAAATCAATATTTAAAAGATAAATTATTAAAATAAGAAAATATTGAAAATAGTGACTTTAATTATTAAATTTAATAATTATAACAGCTTTAAATTATTAAGTAAATTAATATTCTACTATTTTATATATACAGCCAAGCATACTAGCACAGGAAGAGGGTGATGGAGACTTTTGATTCACACTCTGTACAAACCCTCAATATAAAACAAATTGTTGCTTAATGTATATGATGCCGGCAGAGTTATAAGTCTGGCTGTCTTACTCACTGGCAGACATCACATATCTGCTCCTGAAAACAGACGTACCAAATTCAATGCTCCGGGTAGAATGTTTGTTAGATTGCCGAACATCTCATAGATTTTTTTCAAGAAAGTTACATTAGACTGGAGTAGTGTCAAAATATTGTAAATTCTTAGTCCGCAAGTTAGCTATTGCTCATTTCTTTAGAGAGTACGGAGTATGATGCATGGAGATAGAGGCTGTATTCCATTGTTTTGAAAACAAAGAAGGTATAAAATTTGATATGCACTTTTCGTATGACCTCAGCAAGCGTCGGTGTGAAATAGCTGATAACCAATGATAGATAGTCCTGGGGTGTGAGCCCTCAGGCTGGAATTTCATCTAGACATTATAACATGAGAATAGGAAAAGGAAATCCAGGCCTGAGAAGAACAAGAAGAAGCAGAAGCTGTTCGTTGTCGCACAGACCATAAATGGGAAAATGGTTGATAAAGCCAATGCAAGGGCTCCAAAGCAATAGACAGGACCATTACATATTAAACCTCTTGCTAATAGCTGATTCACGTATCTCACTGGTAAGATATAGCATCCACACTTCAACATTGAAGAGGAATTAGAATTGAGTGTTTGGTGATTGTCTGATGTGAATGTGGATGGGAACTACTGGATAAAGTTTTTGATAAACATAATTTTTTAGCTTATCGACACGTGACATGTTCCTGACTCTGCGAAAAGATTGCTTGTTGTAGCCAAACACATTTCGTTCTGTCCCCCGCAGAGCATCATCAATTTGCTTGTCACGGTTCCTGCATACTGGCGTCCCGCTAAATAGTGTTTCTTCGACATAGGTTTCTAGACTGTCCTTTGTGTTTCCATATCTTCGCTGATCGGAATGTCTGCCACGCCCCCTCCTGGTATGGCGGAAGTCATAGTTCCGGTACTCGACGGAGAGAAAAAAGCGGCCACTGAACAACAAATTGACCCTTGGAACGTTGAAGCAGGGCATGATGAGCAAGGAAATACTCTTGCCATTGATTATGTGGCCATTTCACAGTTCGCCAAATTCCTCCTTTTTAGAAGATTTGCGCGTCTGACTTCTCGTATATAGAAAATGGGCGACCAAATTAATAGATGACGAGCTCCTTCAGCGCTTCGAACGCCTTACGGGCCACAAGCCACATCGCTGGTTGAGACGCGGTCTCTTCTTTTCGCATCGCGATTTCGACCATATCCTCAACAAATACGAAGCGGGGGAGCCTTTC